AAAAATAAGTATAAATTGACCATTATTTAGTTGATTAAAATATTTATATTTGGAATTTCACAAACTACTACTACTATAATTATAACTCTCTTTAGGTAGATTACAAATAATTTTTCTAAAACTAGAACCAACGAAAATGGAATTGGCATTATACTCAAAAAGCTAGTTCTCAAAAAATAGTTTTTTATTTTTTATAGCTTTCCACTGGATTCTCATCCAAAAAATTAAACATACAAAACAATGAGTGCAAATAGGTGGGGCAGATTATTTATTATTCAGATATTAAAAAGAGAAAAGCAATTGGAAGTTTTTATCAAATATAGTTGGCTATAACTATCTACATATATAATTCGCCAGAAAAGGTCAAACACCAACACGGTTCAAACACCACATACGTCAGAGTGGGATTCAATAATGAGTTCACTAGGGCGCAAAATATAATTCCCGATAGCTACGCTATACATATTTTTTTAATAACGCAATTGCGTTTGGTGCGTAATATTTTATTTTCGGAAATGAAATCATATCAATTTAAGTATTGTGTAAAAAATATTTGGTTTAAAAGTGGTTGGGACATGAGAATATTAATATAGTTCATGGGCGTGAAATAAAAAGTGAGCAGTGACGTATCATGGAGGAAGGGGTGTAGCAAATATTGGGATTTTTAAATGAGCGTAACTTGAGTTCATGTTTTGTCAAGTAACTTTACTAGATGGGAAGATATTGTTATTAAATGTTTGATATTTTGTGACGTATTGCGCGAAAGGGGATATGATGTATTATTATTGTGTAGTGTGGTCTTGTGAGTAATGGCAGGTCAAGATGTAGCTTAGTTATGTAATAAAGATATTTTATTGTAAGAATGTATAGTTTGTGAAGTGAACCACCTGTTGGTCTTGAGACATGCGCACTGCGGTGGAGCTACCGCCCCCCCCCCCACTCCTGCTTTCCCTATATAGATAGATAGATAGATAGATAGATAGTTCATGGGCCTGAAATAAAATGTGTGCAGTGACACATCATGTGGGTTGGGGGGGGGGGGATGTAGCAAAAATTAGTAGTCTTAGATGTGCTTTAATTGAGTTCGTGTTTTGTCAAGTAACTTTAGCAGATGGGAAGTTCACGCATTGCTGTTGCCAATGTTTGGCGGGCTATATCTAGTCTTTTTTAAAACATGATGCCATCATACCATTAATAATTAACATCTATCCCTACTTGAAAAAATCATGCTTTTATGATGAAATACAATTTGAAATAGATTGCACATATTTGATACTTAGCAAGAAATATATTAATTTATAGACCTTTTTTGACTGATGTAAAGGTAGATTAGTAATCTGTTATTAAGGTCTTTAACGCTGAAAGGTTGCTAAAAATAAATATATAATAATACTGATACATGCGAAAAATGGGAAGTAAGACGTCGTTAAGCATAATCGGCAACAGCCAATTTTTGGAACAGTGCAATATTTATAATTGAATAGTGTAAGCATCTAATAAGATTAGAATTCAATATAGGGATCATCAAATATAATTTTAATTGATTAAAGGCACCAGATACTATACGTTTTAAAAAGTTATAAAAATGACAATTTAGCAGTTATTTTACTCACTCAACTACACTACAGTAATTATTATATTTGTACAATTCAGAGCAGTGAACTGGATACACTACCTATACTATGTAATAAGTCTATGACTACTTCTACTGTGCCACTCTCAACTGTAAGTTAATCGAGTTAGTGTGGATGGTCACCATTTTAAAAATTAGAGTATAGTATAGTACTAGTTCTGGGTAGTACTCAAAACTACAATCCACACACTACACTTCTAAAATAAAATAGGAATCAAAGTATAAGTATAAGTATAAAATATTAGCCTAAGTTGTCCTACAACCTAAGCCTAGTTTTAAGAAGACACTTTCTTCTATTTGATACTGATAGTTGATAGTACTAATATAGTAAGTTAAGTTACTAAAAGTTACTTGTAAAGTGTAGCCATGGTCATAGTTATAGACTGGGAGACCTAGCCCCTTATTAATCAATTAATAATCATTAACTTATACTTATACAGTTTTTTAAGTTATTCATTAGGAATAGAACCACGTTACTAGCAACAACTTTATTAAATAATTAAGTATATCACAAACTGATTTTAAATCATTTGCAAAAATGATAAGTAATATAAGAGTAAGACTAACATTTCCTAGTAACCGAGAAATTTGTTTGTAGTCGTAAACAAAAGCAATCATCACAAACGCAGCAACAGATTAAAGATTATTTAACGGTGTATCTAAACACCGAAAAAGAAGTTATTCGAGACTTGAGTTACAGATACAACTCAATAGAGACTTCTTTTGTTTGATAAATAAGTACAGTAGGCTAATGTGAAATATACCTACGAACTTTTATTTTATGACTGTCTGTCTGAATCTTTTAACTCTTTTGCCTTTTTTCAGTCTACCCTATCTATTTTTATAATTTATTACATAATAAGAGAATTTTAAAAACTTTTTAAAATTGTATTTTCATAGTATAGCATTCTCATCAATGTCGAATTTGTCCTAATCATGATCATATAGGGCCTACGTTTAAAGCAAGCATGAGCTTCGTGATGCGTGACGAATAAAACCCAAACACGGATCTTTTGAAAGGACAAAACATTTTAGGCCAATATTTTACTGAATGTCTGTAAATTTTCGGACGGTTGGCAACCCCGATAAAGGATTACAATGGCGATCGGTGGAACAGTAAAAAGGCTATTTGGATCCCCTTGTGATAGTGAAGTACATGGACATCGGATTTAACAGTTTATTTCCATATTAAAATAGTTTATTTCTCATATCTAAAAACTTATTGATGGCCACTGATATAGACACCGAGGGCAAGAGGCACTTCCCCACCCACCCCACCTCCTTTTCGAACGGCCCTTATGCAACATAGCTAGATTATTTAAAGCATAAACAAACATGGTCACTCTCACAATGATAGAGAATAAGACAATAAGAATTCCTGCCAAAGACAATCAGGGAATGGAACAAGCTTCCAAAAATGAACAGTTGATGTGACAAGACTTGACACATTTGCGCCTGTTGCCCCCAGCCTTCCAGCCCTCAGTTCCTAATACCAGCAAGAAGCCAGTATAGGAGCTGCTCATTCCTGCCCAAGACAATCAGGGACTGGAACAATCTTTCAAAAGGAACGGTTGAGGCGACAACACTAGACACATTTGTGTCTATTGCCTCAAGCCTTCAAACCCCTAGTGCATGATTCCCTCACAAAGTGGCACTGGAAATCAGTGAAATTTCCTCATCAACACCAGGAACAGAAACATTGCAAATCCCATCTACATGCATAGGAGCCAAA